AGACTATCATTGACACAAAAGTGAAGCAATGAATAGAACAGGTAACATATCTTACTTTTCACTTTATTTCATTTTATTTTTCCTCTTGTCATCAAGGATTTTGTCAAAAACGAAAAAAATTGCTAAAAGAAAAAAAAAAAAACCTGAAATCACGTTAAGGCCAGTAATTCAGGTACCATGGGGAGGACAGAGGAGATTGATGAGATTTTCAGAGTACAATAGCCAACCCTAACCCATTGGCGTAGTTGGAATATCTGTCTCAATGCCCTTCAGAAGAACATGCTTTCCAGTGAGGCCCCAGGAAAGGCTTTATTTCAGATACTCTGGTGTGGGTCAATCCATTCAGGCAGCCCTGGTATCCCTGTAACCCATCTGAAGTGTCTGGATTCAAGTCCTGGATTCCAATCTGGTTTGCTGCTGATGTTACTGTGGGAGGCAGCAGGTGATGGCTCAAATATTTGGAGCCCTGTGACCTGTGTGGATTGAGTACCTGACTCCTGGCTTCAGCTTGTTCTCATCTGTGAATCTTTCTGGAGCCAGAGCTATTCTCCCTGCTGCCAGGAGGGCCCAGGGATCAGTTAATATGGAGATGAACAGGCACAAACTCCCTGGTCCGTAGGTTTAGTTAACAGATCAAACAGAAGTGCTTCCTCCCCTGGGCGGGGGAGCAGGAATTAACAGACTGTGGAAAGAAACCTGCTAGAGGAACAAAGAGTATATTAGGAGACTCCCTCTTGCTGTTGAGATGAAAATTCCTCAAACCCCACTCCCTGTTGCATACATGACAACCTGTCTTTAAAAGTCTGATGCTGGGCCCGGCACTGTGGCCTAGCAGCTTATGTCCTCTCCTTGAACACACGGGAATCCCATATGGGCACCAGTTCTGATCCTGGCTGCTCCACTTCCCATCCAGCTCCCTGCTTGTAACCTAGGAAAGCAGCCGAGGACCACCCAAGGCCTTGGGACCCTGTACCCATGGGGGGAACCTGTAAGAAGTTCCTGGCTCCTGACTTCGGATTGGCATAGCACTGGCTGTTGCGGTCACTTGGGGACGGAGGATCTTCCTCTCTGTCTCTCCTCCTCTCTGCATATCTGACTTTGAAATCTAAATAAATAAATAGAAGTCTGATGCTGGCAATAAGCTTTGGCTCTTGATCACCTGTCAGTAGCCACATACACCAAGTTCTCCGGTGCTGGACAGTGAACACTTGCCCTGGCTGTTGGCATTATGAGTGAGCTAACAGACAGAAAATGTCTCTCTTTCTTCTCTCCACTGTCTCTCACGCTCTACCTTAGAGATTAATTTTGTTTGAAGATAGAGCTACAAACAAGAGAAGCAGAGAGAATCTTGCATTTGATATTTCACTCCCAAAATGTCTACAATAGCCAGGGCTGGGACAGACTGAAGCCAGAAGCTTCATTCAGGTTTCCCTTACAGGTGCAAGGGCACAAACATTTGGAATATTTTCTTCTGCTTGCTTAGGTGTGTTAGCAGGGAGCTTGATCAGAAGTGGGGCATGAACTTGTGCCCAAATAGGATGTTACTGTCACAGGTATGCCATCATCAAATATATGAATAAACAAATAAAACATGTCATGGAGCTCAGAAAGTATAATATTGTCAGAGAAAGGAACTAGGGAACAGAGAGCAGGAAGATAGAGAAGAAAGAGAATTTTGTCCTTCACTTTGTAACAGTTTTAAGCCCTTACATGTGAACAATTTGGATAACCCACAAATCGTAAGGCTGTGATTTCCACATTACATCTCAGAATTGGCACACTGGGAAGAAGTCTATTACAGAACAGTTCATGGATGTGGGTCCAATTCCAAACTACCCAACAAGCAAATCAAAGGCACATTATATTCCTTCTACCCTTTTTATTTTTATATCTAACTAGACTGAAATTTGTAATTTGAACTCGTACTCTGCAGTCGTTCGCAATCTTCTATTTAAGAAGCTGGCAGTAAAGCACAGTGTTTAGGCTCAGCTCAATGTTGAAATTGTTTCTACTAATAATTAAACATAGAACTTATCCATGTTGCTGAACCACTGCAAACCTTGCCTTCTTCCTAAAGAAAATGAGATTTTTACCAACAACCTAAGAGCATTGCTATGAAAATGATGAATAATAATGTGTGCAAACTGCTCTGGCTAGTTCCTAACCCATTGCAATCCTTGTATAGAATTGCATCCCTAAGCATGAAGTGGACCCAGTGGTCAGAGATTTGCTTAGGCAAGTTTCAAAAGTCTGATTTCTTAACTACAGCCCTATCTATCTTAGCAATGCACTGGCTTGAGCAACATTCACACACTTACTGTTCATGTTCTAGCACAAGCCCAGTTCTAGTTTGATCTCTACCCTGAATCTCTTGGCAACATTCAAGGGTGTCCAGACAAAAATCACAACATCCTGTGCTTCACGCTGCTGGTGTTGCCATTCTGCCTAAATAATAACAACAACTGACTTCCAAAAAGGGGACTGAGGCACAGCCCAAAGGGACTCAGTCCACGGCACCTGGCTCTGGAAAACAGTTGAGAAAGTTGCATGTTCTGTAAGGCAAAGTAGTAGCTGCTGTGGTACAAAGAACACGGAAATCAATTTTCTTAAAAATAAACAGATCCCAAGAGATCAATGGCCTGGAAACATTCCTCTGGAAGACTAACACACCCTGAATATAAACAGCACGCAACCTTTCAGCTAACAATCTTATTAGCTAACCCATAATTCTGTAAATAGCACACACTACAACACAAACACTTTTCATAAGAATCACAGTGCGTATTTACCCCAGACATTTCACAGATGCTCTGCTCTCACTATACAGTCCTACCAACTTTGAAATAAGTACTTCTTTCATGCCACGAAAATTTATCTCTAAATTATTATGATTGGAGAAAAGTGAAATTCTAAAATATGCATGAGTGTGTATGTGTGCTTTGACTGTGTAATTTAAAGACACTGTATTAGCCATCTACTGTCTAGAAGATACTATGAAGAGACAAGGCTTAATCAGAAATACACACTACTTCAAGGACACTCAGCATCCTACTAGGGGATAGATTTGATATAGAGAAATAAATACAAGATGATGATCATAATACTTAAACATTATGAGACTGCTGTGCTAGGCCAGATGCCTTACATAATAATATTTCGCTAATATTTCCCTGACTTCATCACATTGCTATTATACTTCTCTTACAGATATTTAAGCTAAGTCCTGAAAAACTGTAGAAAGTCTTCCAAGGTTATCATTAAGAATTGAACTCAAATCCATTAGGCATGTGATTGCCACTTACATAAAAACGATGTATTTCTTCTCATACCATTTTGGAATATCAGATACCTTGAGCCTGTTTTTGCTGTTCCAAGTTGATACATATCAAGTGTCAAGCCCAGGGTTTAAAGCCAACACCTAACCAAGGACCAGAGTCTAACCCAGGGCATACTCCAGTCCTAGTGAAGGATTCTTCACGTGCAATGTCATATGGAAGTAATGTCATGTGCAAATCTTCTACATTGTTTGCTCTTCCAGAGACCAACTCCAGGACCTGACAATTTTTACATTTCACTAAATACCAACATTTTCTTATTCCACTAATCTAGTCATTTCTCTCCTCTCCTTCCACGCTCACTTTTAGAGTCCCTCATCCAGGAAGCCTTCTCAGGCCTCTGTAGACTTGTAGCCACAGGCACCGGATGCTGAATCTGCCCATTCATTTATTGCTTAACATTTTCTGCTTTCAATATCACAATTACGTGAAATTTTGTCATTCCATTCCTGGTGCAGCTTTGGAAAATATCTGTCTCATCCAATATGACATTATACCTCATTAGTATATTAAGTATGGAGCTGAAGAATACTGAATATTTAATATTCACTATTGGTTAAAATTAATATAGTGATCCATCGTAGTAAAAGGAGAAAAATCTGCCAGGGGGTGGAGGTTTGGGGGAGAATCCCAGCCTATAGGAAATTGTACCATATAATCCAAAATTCAAAATAAAAATGTATCTTTTAAAAAATGACATAGTGATTAAAATAGGTTATATTAAATTTTTCAAAACCATTCCAATGAATGAAATATTACTTTAAAGTTAGAATTTGAGAAAAATCTAAACTGAATGGCTTTGCTAATAAGTAAAAAGTTCAGTCTTAAATCTACAATATACAGTTTTGTGATTCTAATATAAACCACTAGAAAATGACCCCATAATTCTGTATTTCTAAAATAAGTTGGCATTGTATACAACTTTCCTGCCCTTTATCAGTGCATGAGAGTGTGTGTATAATGTATGTACATATATAGTATTATACATACATGTTTAATGCATTTTGCCCTTTACTTCCCTGACACATGCAGACTTGCTTTCACAAGCATATTTGATTAATAATTTCAAATTTTTTGTAATGATTAATTTTACATTACAGATTTTAATCAAGGAGGTGGCAAGGTGGCATAACAAGCTCTATTTATGGCACCAGCATCCCACATGGATGTCGCTCCTGACATCCCTTCGATCTCCCTGCAAATAGCCTGGGAAAGTGGAAGAGGATGGCCCAAGACATCAGGCCCCTGTACCCACATGGGAGACCTGGAAGAATTTCCCATCTCCCAGGTTCAGATAGGCTCAGTTCTTACCATTGCAGTCATTTGGGGAGTGAACCAGAGAATAAGGATGTATTTTTCTTTCTCTCTCTTCTCTGTAACTTTGACTTTGAAGCAAAATGTCTTTTAAAAATATCTTTAAAACAACATTATCAAGCAGATTAAGCAGATGAATGCACATAGCATTCATAATACCGTGTCCAACAATTTAAATATTTCCAAATCCGATGGCCTCTGACCCATTTTGTTAAGAGACTGGGGGCACAGGTTTGACTGCTATCTTTCCAATTCCCACAAAAATTGAAAACCTTAGTGGAAGGGGCACCAGAGCAAAGAACCCACTGAGTTACTGCAGAACGTGTGTGTAAGGCCAACAAGTGCACTCACCTTCCGCCCGGCCACTGCCCTTCTGCCTGCTGTTCTGAAGGGGCAGCACCTCCAGCTCCGTGATGCCTGACCTCTCCAGAATGGTCACATCCACCGTGAGCCTCCCCACCAGCTGCTGGGGGCGCACGCTGACCACATGCTCATACTTTCCCAGCCGTCTCTGCAGCAGCTCTTCGTAGCTTAACAGGAATGAGGCTTTGTCCTTGCTGGGAATGACTATGGCAGCTCGGAAGGTTTCCGTCCCCTTCTCCCTATCGGGGATTCGAAAGGGACCACAGGTAGTGTTGACAGAAAGAAGAAGTCAGGCACCCTCAGTCCCCTGGGACAGTGGCTACACTTTCCTAACCAGCTTGCCAAACAGACCGGAAAGCAACAGTTATGAAGGGAAAATAAAAATGGGCATTGCAAGGATAAGTCAAGGCATGCACTAGCTGGTTACCAAGAGTCAAAGAATATCGCATAACAGAGAATATAGACTACTGACCTATTCAATCTCTCCCATGATAGACCCAAGAACCACAAATATATGTGTTCCATGCAAGGGGATGAGGGCATTCAAGTGGGTGAACAGCTAGAAGAGAGCCTTTATGGTGTCAAGTTGTAAACTACATTCTCCCACCACAGGAATAGCCAAACGAATACTGACAGTTTGTGTTGCCCTAAAATAGTAAATTAGGTTTTGACTCCTCAGTGAGGACAGGTGGATGTGTTTAGGGAGAAATAAAGGACTGTGAAACTTACCAAAACATGCATCTTTTTAAGTACTGTCAATACTGCAAATGAGGGTTCTCTGATGCAAGATGATATACTGACCAGCCAAGGATTAAATCCAAGGGAAAAGTGTAAGAGGGGCATTTTAACAAAGATTCTTAAAGACTTGGAAGAAGTGGTCAGAGGAGTAATAACTTTAACTCAGAACACGCAGGAAAGGGTTGTAGTAAAGCAGAGAATCAAACTGGCAGGTAGCATAGGCTCTGAAGTCAGTGTGCACCAAAGGATGGGAGTGAGCAGTGATCCAAAAGCAATGACCAGGGACCTAACTCAAAACTCCTTGATGCATGAATAAGCTGATGGGTTTCCTATACTCCTCTTTCCCAGAACTAAAAAGAGACATGAGTATTAACAAAGAAAATTTCACTGAGCACCAATCAGAATCAATGAAAATAAACTGATACCAAATTTCAATATCAGGAAGAAGAAACATGTCAAAAGAATATTAGACCACATTAAAAAGTATTATATCATTGGTAATACTTTCATAAGACATTTGAAGCAATACCTCAAGATTCAGAAGGAAAATTATTTGACCTCACATTCCATATACAGCCCAATATTAATCCAAGATCTCGGAAAAATTCACCTCTCACACATTCATTCTGCCAACGTTACTTCATAATACACTTCAGCAAACTAAAGGTGAAAACCAAGAAAGAGGAAAATATAAATAGAAAGAAATGATCTAACCTATCCAGAAGAAAATGTAAAGAAATACCAACTAAAAGTTCTGCACTAAGACTGCAAAGCAATGACAGTTACTTCATGGATATGAATACATGCAGATTTTTACATCTCTAAAATCAGAATGTCTCTCAATATGCAATGTATTTCAATTGCTATTGGCCAGGTATTAAAGTGATGTGGATGTCATTGATTGTGGAAACTTGATCAAACAGTTGTTTGTCATCATTTCAAATTATTTGAATGTCTTGCTAGATAGTAATAGTGACAAAAGTTAATTTTCTATTACAGAAAAAAAAGCAAGGCTAATAGAGACTCAGGACACACCCCTGTCAGAATAACTATTATAAAAAAGGCAGAGAATAGGGCCCTGGTGCAATAGCTCAGTGGCAGAATCTTCACCATGCATGTGTTGAAATCTTATATGGATGCCAGATTGTGTCCTGGCTGCCCATTTTCCATCTAGCTCCCTGCTTGTTGTCTGGGAAAGCAGTGGAGGACAAACCAAGGCCTTGGGCCCCTAAACCCAAGTGGGAGACTCAGAAGAAGCCCCTGGCCCCTGCCTTAGAATTGGCTCAGCTCTGGCCATTGTGGCCACTTGAGGGAATGAACCAGAGGGCAGAAGAAGATCTCTGTGTCTCTCTCTGTAAATCTGCTTTTCCAATAAAATAAAATAACTCTTTTAAAAAACACAGCATTACAAATGTTGGCAAGGAAATGGAGAAAGCAGAACTCTTGAATAGTTGCTGGGAGAAATGCAAATTATTAGTGAAGTCACAGTGGAAAACAGTACAGTGATTTATTTAAAAGCTAGTACTGAACTGCCAGTTGATAGAGAATTTTATTTGTTAGTATACCCAAAAGGCATAAATCCATTGTATAAAGGAGATACTTGCTCTACCATATTTGTAGCAGTACTGTTCACAACAGCAAACACATAGAATTAACCAAGGTTTCCCTCATCAGATGAAGATATAAAGAAAATCTGATATATATTTTTATATATGTACATACATATGCACAAACACACAGCCAGAATACTATACAACTGAAAAAGGATGAAACCCAGGAGATGCAACTAAAAGACATCATTTTCCATGAAACCTGACACAAAAAGACAAATATCACATATTTCTTCCTTTATATTTTAAAAACTCAGCACCAACACAGGCTAACCCTAAACCCTGTCATGCCAGCATCCCATATGGGCAATGCCTCGTGTTCCATTTGCTCCATTTCTGATCCAGCTCTCGGCTTATAGTTTGGAAAAGTAGCAGAGGATGGCCCAAGTCCTCGGGACCTTACATCCATGTGTGAGACATAGGAGAAGCTGTTGGCTCTTGGCTTTGGATTAGTTCAGCTCTTGCCATCATGGTCATTTGGGGAGTCAACCAACAGATGCGAAAACTTCAGCTCTCTGTAAAAATCTGCCTTTCAAATAAAAAGCAGTAAATCTTTTAAAAATAAAACTTCAATTTTTTTAAATATTTATTTTTATTGGAAAGGCAGATATACAGAAAGAAGGAGATACAGAAAAAGATCTCTATCCACTGTTTCACTCCCCAAGTCACTGCAATGGCCATAGCTGATCTGATCGGAAATCAGGAGCCAGGAGATTCTTTCAGGTCTCCAATGCGGGTGCAGGATCTCAAGGCTTTCGGGGCCATCCTCAACTGCCTTTCCAGGCCACAAGCATGCAGCTGCATGAGAAATGGAACAGCAAGGATTAGAACCGGTGCCCACATGGGATCCCAGCATGTGCAAGGTGAGACCGTTAGCCATTAGGCTACTGCATGAGGCCCAAAACCTCAATCTCAACACAAAATGTTGATTATTAGAGGTTGGGAAAGATGGGAGTGATAGATGGAGCTTAGTTTTAAAAATGGGGGAAGTTGGATGTGGTAAGTAATTGTGATAAAGGCATAAATATTAATAGTTACTAATAGATGTTAATATTAATAGGGAAATGGAGAAAGCATATACAGGAACTCTTTGTATTGCTAGCTCACAATTTTTGTTTGGTACTTCCCAAACTATCCTGATAAAAATGTTTTTCAAAAACAGGAAACTCCAGGGAAAAAAGAAGCATACAACCTAACTAAACTGTGGCATGATTCTGAATAATCATGATAAACCACTTGAAACACACTTAGTTAGAATTTAACAACTTGGTGCAGCAAGGGGACCACATACTAAAGGGACCATGAAGCATCTCACAAACCAAGGAGAAGGATATTGTAAGACCGTGGGAGGGGCAGAATGTAAAAGTTTGGACAGGCTCAAGAAAAGCAGAGCTGTGTGAGGCCATGCTTGCCAACCTATGCTGTGCCTTGGGGAGTAACAGCATTCAACTAAAGGCAGAACTCTGCACTTGAAAAGCCCTTGTGGCAGGCTCCAGGGCTCGGTTATTTTTCTCTATCAGAGTGAACCATGGCTCAAATCTTCCAGACGAGTTTAAGGAATTCCATTTCCACTAAAAAATTTCCCACAGCTAAGTTTCTGATAGTCTATGCTTTTAGAGAATCAACTTCCTTAAGCTCTTTCATTTGAATACTGAATAAAAACAGTTTATAGATGCACAGCAATCCATCCATCACTGTTCTACACAGAGAGCAGAGGCCTCCACGTGTGGCTGGTGAAAAAGGAAATGCAATATTAATTAATCAATCTTGATGAAATCACTAAAAAGCAATGCTATTTACTGACTTTCACTGTTCAGATCTGTTCAAAGAGAAAATAGAATCGAAGTATTGTTACAGATTAGAATTTAAATATTAACAACTGATAATTCCAAGATAAATTTTCAGGGACCCAAAGATGGATACAGGAAATGGAAAAAGAGGTAAAGTGTAGGGTGCTTAAGGGATAACATACTAAGGATGCTAAACATTGTTTAGTTCTTGAAGGAAGAAATAAAACAATAACATAAAAATTTGGAATGCAGGGGGGCAAAGGAGAATTGTAATTTTGTAAATTTGCTAAATCCTCTTCACAACAGAGTCAGCAAGTATTTTATGAAAAATTCAAGAAACAGAATCAAGATCTATCAAATATTTAGAGTTATTATTTAGAAAAAGAAATCAAGACACATAACAAGTAGATGCCTTTGAAAAGTAAGAACTAAGGCTGGAAATAAGAAAGTTTGACCTTTCATCATAAACACTGATCCACTGATGCTGCCAATATGTATATTACTTAATAAAAATAAGGAGAACATATTTGGAGGAAGAGAGGTAAATCAGGTGAGAAGGCAAAGGGTAGAGAATTTAACCCTTGGGTGAAATGGATATGTACTCCTTACTATTACTTACCCATTCTCTTCTGAGGTTTTATTCCTTTTCTCTTTCACACTGTCACCATTCTTCTTTTCTCTCTCTGCAATTTCACCCTGATACACCCTGTCTCCAATTAGCCTGAAAAAACACAAGAGGCAGCTGTGTTGCCACCAGCTCACAGTTCCAAGCATACTGAAATATGGCTCTCATAGCCATGACAACCCTAGAAAATATTTTTGTTTGCATCTTGGATAGGCAAAAAGAACACATTCCATACCAGGGCACTACCGTTGAGTCATTCACTCTGTTCTAGGGCGACTTTCAACAGGTCCAAATGGGAAGCCCCATCCCCTGGGGCCTCTGTGATTCCCCTTGAGAAAATCACAAATCTGCTCAAAATTCCACAAAGTTTGCCCAGTGTGAACCTTGCCCAGACAAAATAAAACTAAGCCAAACATCTATCCCATTCTGCACATCTTTACTTCTTAGGTCAGAAGAACGACTCCTGGGCATTTGGCTTAGTGGTTATGATACCAGTTAAGACTATTACATGTCATATCAGAGTATCTGAATTCCATCCCAGACTCCACGCCCTGTTTCAGCTTCTTGCTGATGCAGATAATGGGAGACAGCAGGAATGACGGCTCAAATATTGCTGTCTACATAGGAAACATGGGTTGAGTTCCCATCTCCTTGCTACACGGGAGTCATTGTGGGAACTGAGGAGCAAACCAGTAAATGTGTTTTTTTTTAATAGTGCTTGTGTCTTTCTCTTTCTTTCTCAAATTAAAAAGAAAAGAAAGAGGTGAGGCAAAATAAAGGAAAAAAACAGGAGGAAAAAGATTTTCAATCAGTAAATCATAGCTGTCGCTCTGTCTCATTGCTTCATCTCAACAACATTCTCCTCCGTGATTTCTCCACCTATGCAAGATTTCCACCCAACTTGTTATCTCTACAATATTCACTATCTGAAATTATCTCATCATTAGTTTACTTACTTATTGGATCCACTGGAATTTCTGGAACAGGGTGATCTTGTACTTGTCATCGAAATCTTTCAATCCCCTGTAGAAGCCCTGGCCCACAGTAGACACTCACTCCTTTGGAAAGAAGGAAGGAAAGAAAAAGAAGGGATAGTAAAGAGGAAAGAGGACAGGCAATGTGTTTCACAGATAAGATGCTGACTAAGACGTCCCATTGCGTTTCAAGCCTGAATCCAACGCCTGGCTCTGGCTCCTGGTTCCAGCTTTCTGCTAACACAGAACTCTGAGAGGCAGTGGGGGATGCCTCAAGAACAAGACCTTGCAGCCATATGGAAGGCTCTGATTGCATTCCTGGTTCCCAACTTCAGCCTGGACTAGCCCAGGCTGATGCAGGTATTTGTGTACTGTATCCACAGATGGGAGCCTGCTTGCTGTCTTTCTCTCGCCTTCCCTCTCACTTTCCCTCTCTCTCCTTTCTCAAATAAATAGATAAGTAAATGAAATATAAAGGAAGAAAGATGAGAAAAATAGAAGAATTAACAAAAAAGCAAAAGGAAAAGAGAGGAGAAGGGGGTACATTGGGAGAGAAAAAAGAGGAAACCACTCACAACACCGTGGACCACACATCACTGCAGGTTCACCCTGACCTCCCATTCAGAAAGATTCTCTGTCCAGCATAACACCTACATGGTGAAGTTAGTGATGAAAGCCGCAGCTGGAATCTGCATCTGAAACTCGATCTCCTGGTCATTGGAAGCTCTGTTCAGCATTTTGCAGGAAACTGTCGTGAAGGCATACCGAGAAATGATGGTGGACTTCACTGAGAATTCAGTCATCAATGGCTTGGTTTTCTGTTGGAAGTAAAACACATAATACACTCTGTGATGGCACAGCATAATTCAGACAGTTGGGAGGTAGGTGTAAGTTGGTTTGACGTTGTTGTTTTTCCTTAAGGGAAATAATCTTCCACATGATTCCTTTCTATGATTTGTTTTGATTTCCCCAATTTTCACTCCTTGACTTTGCAAAATCAACATTGGGTGATCAGCCAATTCACAACATAAACATGTCTCTTTAGCTAACTTCAATGAATGGATACAGTGAAGATTTGCAAATTCATCAAAAATACACATTGCTTAAATATTCAGTAAGCTTTTGGAATTTAGAAGTAAACTATGTGACAGGCACAACACTTTCTATTATCAACTTTTAGGTCACACTTGCAGGATCACTAAATAAAGTGAAATATCATAAAGTTGTCTTAAGAAATTCTTACATATTTGATTTCACTTCAGTATACTCTTAAATATATTGCATGCCTGGGCTTCTCCACCAGAACTGCCAGCAGATTAATGTCAAATAGGAATCAATGTTGAACTCAAAAGTGTTTCTTGAGGAGTTAGAATCTAGAAACAGGAAAGCCCAAATGTCAAATTCATCCCCAAGGCTTCTAAGTTGTTCCGATAGTAACTCTACAGGGTTATCTTCCTAGCCCTTACAACAGTGCTGCATCTGATGGCAGCCCTTAGCAGAAGCCCCCAAAAAGAAACACTGATGAGGAAAACCCCTCCTAACAGAGCAATTTTCTAATTCCAGGAACGGGTTAAGCAATTGAGGGGATGTTACAGGTTGACTGTGTCCCCCAAAAGATTCAAATGTTGGTATCTTAAGCTCCAAGGTAATGATATTTGGAAGTATGATCCTGTAAACAGGTCATGGAGGTTAGGCCATCAAAGCAGGTATTCTGCCCGCATCAGGGAAATGCTAGACAGAGATCCAATTCTCTCCGTGTACTCACACCAAGTAAAGGTTATATGAGCATACAGCAAGCAGGTGATCAGGGGGAAAGCTTTCACCAGAAACTAAATCCTGCCAATTTTGGGCTTTACAGAACTGTAAGAAAATTAAATCTCTACTGTTTAGACACCAGATCTATGGCTATTTGTTATGGAAGCCCAAAGCAGACTAAGACAATGCATTCACCTACTATAGTCTTGGGACAGATAGAGAAAATAGGCACTTTATGCTGACTTTACAGATGGAAGGAAGTCAGCGTTAGTAAGGGCATGGGCATCTGTTGGTCTTGTCAAGCAAGTAATGGAGATGAGATCTGAACTCAGTCCTCCTTGCTCTGAAATCTACTCTTGGCACCGTTGTGTGAGGTGCCCCTGGGTGCCCCTGGGAGCCCTAGGTGCCCCTGAGCAACAGATGCTACTCATTTCTGCAGGCTCAAACCTCAGCCTGATCTTGGGCATACAGCAAGGTTTCAATAAATGATGAATAAAACTGGCTTACTCTGATATCATTGTACCCTATTCCATTGGGCCTGTAGCCTACCTAGAAATCTTTATTTCAATGCCTTCTACCTTATCAACTCACTTTTGCGTCTAAGCTGGATTTCAAAATACATACAAGACTATGAACTGTTGATATGAAAGCACATTGCTTCTTGAAATAAGGGTGACCAAAAATCCTACCTAACCACAGAGAAAAATTCTGCTAAAAAAAAATGTACTCAAAACATTGTCCTGCAAAGCAAAGAACAAAAAGTTTAAGAGATGTTTTACAAATGGTATTGGAGAAGTGGACATAAATATCAAGCAGACCTGAAAATATATGTAAATATTCACAAGAGGGAGTAGTGCCAAACCTGTGAGCATGATTAGAGAATGACTGATATATGAATACAAAAACCAGAAAAAAAATAGGAAATCTTAGAAAAATAGGCTAAGAATATGCCTATACTTTACAGAGTTGGAAAACAAATATATGGAGCTCAGTTTTCTAAAAAATGATGGAGGTTTTATTTTCAAAAAAAATCTAAGCATAAGAATATTTAAAATATCTTTGCTCAAAAAAGGAAAGAAATTCTGCAATTTAGTCTAAGAAATTGAAAGAAATTGTTCTCAAAGGGGCTGGAGGTTCCCCCAAATAAGCAGCATCAACACCCCCAGAAACATGTTAGAGATGCTTGCATCTGACTATGTCCCAAACTCACAGACTCAGAACCCAGAGAGACCCAACTGTCAGTGCCTGAACAAGCCAGTGGCTCTGATGTGTGTCAAGGTTCCAGAACCACAAGGCTATAGCCACTTAATAAGGTGAAGCTCTTCATTTATTTCTCATCTACAAACAGCAAGGACTTGACCAAATACCACAATGACATCCACTACTGAGATCCAGAGACTGAAGCAAAAAGCATGAATAAAACCTGAGGATTTAGGAAAATATTCCTGAATTTAGAAATCATTGGATTGTAAAATTTTTTTATGAAAAATCCAATCTCTTTATGATATCTGTCTTCTCAGAAGTGATTTGGATTAAATAGAAGTTTCAGGTGGAATTAATCTGTTTAAATGTTTCTGCAAAATGATCTTATTAAAAACATTTAATAAATTTCAGTTAAGACATTGAGAATTACATTGTGTATAGAATGGAAATAATCTAAACAGCATGGTAAATTGGTGGATTTTTTTAAAACCTTTTTTTTGTTAAAGATGTATTTATTTTTATTGAAAAGTCAGATATACAGAGAGGAGGAGAGACAGAGAGGAAGATCTTCCATCCAATGATTCATTCCCCAAGTGAGTGCGATGGTTGGTACTGCGCCAATCCGAAGGCAGGAGCCAGGAGCCCTTCCAGGTCTCTCACATGGGTACAGGGTCCCAAGGCTTTGGGCCATCCTCAACTGCTCTCTCAGGCCACAAGCATGGAGCTGGATGGGAAGTGGAGCTGCAGGGATTAGAACCAGTGCCTATATGGGATCCCAGCACATTCAAGGCAAGGACTTCAGCCGCTAGGCCATCACGCCGGGGGCAGTATATAACAGTATTTGCAATGTTCTTCCATACAAACTGTGCTTCACCTAATGATACAGTTTCTTCATCTTTGCCTATGTTCTAGTTACTTCATGTTACATAGCAAAGCACTCTAAGATGACGTGCTCTGCAACAACAGCGATCATTGTGTGCTCTCACGCTTTCTGTGGGTCAAGAATTCCAGAAGCGTTTGGTCAGGACTTCTGGCTTGTTGGCAGTCATTTCGTAGCTGGAGCTTAGAATAGTGGGCTGCTAAAGTAGCTCAGCTCTGGCTGGCATCTCTCTGTCTCCCATTGTCCCAAGACCCTTCCATGTGATCCTTCCAAATGCACAAGCTTAGTCTGATAGCATGAACAATCTCTTATATTAGACTAATTATGTGAGAACAAGATGCTGCACTGATCACGAGGTAGCTTTCCTAAACCTGGGTGGCAGTTACATGCTGGTTATTCCCTAATGTTTAAAATGACATAGAATTCTTTCCATCATACACTCTTGGTCAAGACAGTCACAGGATCACACACTCATGGGCGATGAGCACAGACCTTGTCCCTGAGGGAGGAGTGCAGCATCCAAGGGCTTCCATCTTTGGAAAATTGGATCTGCTACTGAACAAAAACATCTACTTGATTCTTTTTAAATAGCTCCATGATATTAAATTTTATGGGTGAATTATATTTCAATTGGCCTGACCTCTACCATCCACCAATCTTCACAATTATTCCTATTAGTGCTTGAACTTCCCTTCAGATCTCTACTTCTGCTACACCAAAGGGTGGGCAAACTTATGGCAGTTGGACCACATGATATATTACACATAGTTTTATTGAAATACAGCCACATCTGTTCATGCATATACTGTCTGTGGTTGCTTTTGTGCTAAGGTAACTTTGGTAGTTAGGTTCAGTCCTCAGAGATTGTATATTCTACATAGCCTACAGCTGCCAATACCTGTACCTTAAGAAAGAAGAAGTGTTTTGCCTATTAAAACAGATGTATCTCTGATAGGTTATTTGCATATTGTTGTTGATCGGCACATTTTGGAAAGAGATCACAAATTTTGTGGCCTGTGGACATTTTAATTTGACTTGCAGCCTTTCAAAGTTTTTCAAGTATAGGAAACAACATTTAGTACTTGGTAAAATTCCCATAAAATATCTCAAATGCTAATTTCTGGCTCACATTTGCTCAAGATCATCTTCAGGGGATGACAATGGTCATCACTTCAGCTCAGACTTATATTTCATTTGCCCAGCACCCATTTGGCCCTAAATGAGTCCTGCTGTCTAACTGACACTATGGCAAAAAGTCAGGAAACACATCATCACTGTGTTTTCACTAGAACTTTTCTTATTCCCAGCTTAATGTACTTGTTCATATCCTCTACTACTCTACATTTTAAGTAGCTGAAATTTGCACCCCCTTTTCAAACTACAGTATTCTCAGTAAGGTTGACATATTACACAGTGCCGCTAAGCCCAGGTAAGCCATCTCTGCTGTGAGAGAAGCAGAACTGAAACCTCCAGATCAGCCACCAGCCTGCTAAGGTCCACTGAGTAGCCTCCATCAATATCATCAACATAAAAGCCACCCAGCTGAGCTTTGCCCAATTCTTGCTCCACAAAATGATACACTAAAAGGCTGATGCTTTAACCTGGTGAGTTTCACAGAGGATTTTTATGCATCAAAAGAACCTGGGAATATACAATTCATCTCTGATGATATTTGAATTTACAACCCTACTTTGGTGTGACTTGTCCTTAGGTTGAATAGAGGCATTCCATTGGTTATTTCAAGTTCTACATGTTTCTGATCTCTACACATTATTTTTTTTAGCTTCGTAAACTACAAATCTCCACATTGAAAAATGTCCTTTATATCTTTTTGGTAGAAGTTATAGTGTAAATAAGAAAGACAAAGTATAAAGAAAAAGAGACACTCAAGTCTAGTCTCTTCACGTCACCAGTTTAGCCAAAGTCACTCACTACATGACTTCGCCAGGTCAAGCAAACAGAGGAAGTAAATTGAAACTC